GTAATGATGAAGAAGGGAAACACGCTGTCCACCTGCCGAGGACCGTAAAAAGTCCTGCTCCTCCTCCATGTAATAATCCGTAAAAAACTCCGAAAACACAATGCACGAGTCCTTGTGCTTTGGTCAAATCTGTCAGTCCGTCCAACGATAATCCTCCAGTATTCTCACTTTAGCCGTTTTTCAGCGGTTTACAGAGACGTGTTTACATTTTAGCCGCTCTGAGATGATGGTGGGCGGTGCCACATAAACACCGCTTGTGTGGGTGTGTGTGTGTGTGTGTGTGTGTGTTCGTGTTCCTTGTTTTTTAATTTAATTTGTTTTTATGTAAAGCACTTTCTGTTGCCTTATGGCAGGAAAAGTACTTATGAAATAAAATTTGATAAAAAATTATCTTTTTTTTTTCTCTCCTGCACCTCAAAGAATCGGAATCGAGAATCGTTTAGAACAGGAATCGATAGTGACAATCGGAACCGGAACCGGAATCGGAATCGGAATCGGAAAATTGCAAACGGTGCCCAACCCTACTCATTAGTCTTGTTCCTTCGCTCCCGGTTCCGTCAGTGTCAATCCTCATCTGTTTCAGTTCTTATCCTTGTTCCCGGTTTGGTTACTTTTGATTTGGGTCTCCTTGTTTTCTCACCCATGTGACACCACAGGTCATGTTCTAAAAGTAATAGCAGCTCTGTTTAAGTATCAAGGCTGTAAAACCTGTCACCACACACTCTTTAGTCTATTAACCACCTGAAGAACAGGTAATAGTGTGTGTGTGTGTGCGTGTGTGTGTGCGCGCGTGTGTAACTCCTGTTCCATAGGTTTATTAGCCCTCTCTGCACGGATGGGAGAGCAGTGAGAGGACTGTCAGGACTATCAGCCCTGTGGGGGTCACGGGGGGGTCGTACAGCTGTGGGCGGGGCGGGGGGACACCCACGTGCGCGAACCCGCAGCGTGCACGCGCCCAAGGGCAAACATGAGGCGCGCAGCCGCGTGTTCGCGGATCTGAGCCGGGACGAGTACGCGCAGGTCCAGGACTACATGCTGCGGCAGAAGGAACTCAACATCTCCACGCGCCAGAGCACGAGACCTGACGATAACTTTCTGTTTTTGATAGATCTGCGCGTGTGTGTGTGCGTGGGTGTGTGTGCGCGCGTGTGTGTGCGTGGGTGTGTGCGCGCGTGTGTAACTCCTGGTCCATAGGTTTATTAGCCCTCTCTGCACGGATGGGAGAGCAGTGAGAGGACTGTCAGGACTATCAGCCCTGTGGGGGTCACGGGGGGGTCGTACAGCTGTGGGCGGGGCGGGGGTCGCACCTCGCGCCTCTGGCTCCGTGCGTCAGTGTGTTGCTGCAGACTTAAGATGAACTCTCTACTGAAGTGGGCCGTGGGGCTCCTGGTGCTCTTCTCCGTGCTCCTGAACCTCGCTCTGATCGTGGGATACTCCCGCAGGACACCCACGTGCGCGACCCGCAGCGTGCACGCGCCCAAGGGCAAACATGAGGCGCGCAGCCGCGTGTTCGCGGACCTGAGCCGGGACGAGTACGCGCAGGTCCAGGACTACATGCTGCGGCAGAAGGAGCTCAACATCTCCACGCGCCAGAGCACGAGACCTGACGAGAACTTTCTGTTTTTGATAGATCTGCGCGTGCCCGCGAAGTCTGAGGTCTTAGCGCACCTTGACGCGCACGGCCCTGCTCCGCGCAGAGAGGCCACAGTGGTGGTGTTCCACGGCTCCACAGGCTTCATTAAAGAGTATGTGGTGGGACCCCTGCCCAAGCCCTCCGACCACCGCGACGTGACGGCCCAAGACTACAAGGCAGAGCTGCCGCTCAGCGCGCGCCCCGTCACCATTGGAGAGTATATCCTCATCTTCAAGCTCCTGGAGCAGAGGGTCTTCTTGCCTCTGGCCAAAGTCCTCCATGAGAGTTTCGGCGCAGATCACAAACATCGGCTCAATGCGTTTGAACAGATGCCGCGCGGAGTGCGCTCCGGAGAGCGCAAGACCTGGATCTCGTTCTTCCGTGACCAGAGCGGGATGTACATCCAGCCCGCGGGCTTCGAGGTGCTGCTGAACCACCTGAGCACTGACCCCCTCCCAGTGGAGCGTGGAGCGCCTCCTGTACAACGGCCAGTACTTCGAGTCCGTGAACGCGCTGCTGGACGCGTACCGCGCGGGCTCCGTACAGAAGTTGTCTGCGTCTCCGTGGGAGGACTACGGCTCCCTGAAGCCCCGCAGCAGACCCCTGCAGGTGGGCCCGCAGCTCGTGAGCCCCGAGGGCCCGCGCTACAGTGTCAGTCACAACCATGTGCTGTACATGGACTGGAGCTTCGCCTTTGGCCTGAGCTCGCTCACGGGCATGCGCGTGTTCGACGTGCGCTTCAAAGACGAGCGCGTGCTGTACGAGCTGAGCGTGCAGGAGGCCATGTCCGTGTACGGCTCCGTGACCCCGGGGATGGGCATGACTAAGTTCCTGGACTCCAGCATCGGCATCGGCCGCTTCGCACACGAGCTGGTGCGCGGCGTGGACTGTCCGTACGAGGCCACGTACGTGGACACGTACAGGTACATAGACGTGGCAGAGGCGGGTCGCTACCGGAACTCCATCTGCGTCTTTGAGCTGTCTCTGGGCCAGCCGCTGCGCAGACACTTCGCAGACTTCTTCAGCCACAGTTACGGCGGGATGGTGAACAGCGCCTTGGTCTTCAGGACCATCACTGCCATCGGGAACTACGACTACATGTGGGACTTCATCTTCTACCAGAGTGGGGCCGTGGAGGCCAAGGTGCACGCCACAGGATACATCTCCTCCTCCTTCCTCGTGGCCGGAAGTCTCAAACACGGACACCAGGTGGCGCACAACGTGCTGGGCAACATTCACACGCACTTCATCAACTTCAAGGTCGATTTGGATGTGGCAGGTGAGGTCTACACTTTGTCTGCTCTATGTCTCTGCTCTATGTCTCAGCTCTATGTCTCATATGTCTCAGCTCTACGTCTCAGCTCTATGTCTCAGCTCTATGTCTCATATGTCTCAGCTCTATGTCTCAGCTCTATGTCTCATATGTCTCAGCTCTACGTCTCATATGTCTCAGCTCTATGTCTCATATGTCTCAGCTCTATGTCTCATATGTCTCAGCTCTATGTCTTATATGTCTCAGCTCTACGTCTCATATGTCTCAGCTCTACGTCTCATATGTCTCAGCTCTATGTCTCATATGTCTCAGCTCTATGTCTCATATGTCTCAGCTCTACGTCTCATATGTCTCAGCTCTATGTCTCATATGTCTCAGCTCTATGTCTCATATGTCTCAGCTCTATGTCTTATATGTCTCAGCTCTATGTCTCATATGTCTCAGCTCTACGTCTCATATGTCTCAGCTCTATGTCTCATATGTCTCAGCTCTATGTCTCATATGTCTCAGCTCTACGTCTCATATGTCTCAGCTCTATGTCTCATATGTCTCAGCTCTATGTCTCATATGTCTCAGCTCTATGTCTTATATGTCTCAGCTCTACGTCTCATATGTCTCAGCTCTATGTCTCATATGTCGCAGCTCTATGTTCTTCAGTCAGAGCTGTATCAAACTGTTGTGGTGAAGAGGGAGCAGCGTCTGCAGTGAGAGCTCCCAATTCCCTCATTTCTGGTCATGGTCTTTGGGTAATGAGCGACACGACGAGATCAGTTTACTTTTGAATGCGCTGGAAAACGGCTGCAAGTCCTAAGTAGCTCTGAAACAGTTGTTTTGTGCTTTACAATTTTTATTAGGCCCCAACTGGGGTAAGGGCCTATTGCTTTCCCAACGAGTAATGACTGGGCGAATCTGTGACCATCTGTGACCTGCACCGCGAGACGCTGCTCCCCAAATCCTGCTGTAGTCCCAGTGAAAGGAATGGGGTCCTATGGAGGGGGTGGGTGACCCCATGATGCTGATAATCCAATGGTTGCGTTCGTCCGCTTGTTTGCTTTAAAACGGCGTATATTTGGTATATTTTTTTCTTGCTTTTTTCTGCCTGAGATGTTGCTGCAGTTCAGTGTTCATGGTTTTTCACTGGTCCAGACCAGAGCAGAGAGGATTCATGGTTTGACACTGGTCCAGACCAGAGCAGAGAGGATTCATGGTTTGACACTGGTCCAGACCAGAGCAGAGAGGATTCATGGTTTGACACTGGTCCAGACCAGAGCAGAGAGGATTCATGGTTTTACACTGGTCCAGACCAGAGCAGAGAGGATTCATGGTTTTACACTGGTCCAGACATACAGCTCAAACATAGAAAATCAAATAAAAAGAGGCTCCCGTGGTTTAATAAATCTCTCTGGGACACAATGAAACATAGAGATAAAGCTCTCAAGGTTTCATTAAAAAGTAAACTAACCACTGATCATTACATCTATAAATCTATGAGAAATAAAGTTACCATGCTGCTTCGAAAAGCAAAAGCAAATTTTTTTCTTGACTTAATCAAAGAGGCAAAAGGTAATTGTAAAAATCTGTGGAGGAGCATGGATAAACTATTGGGAAGGAAAAAAATATATCCGGAGCACTTACAGCTCAAAAATTTAATGGAATAGTTCAAAATGAGGGCTCTATTCTGGCTAAACATTTCAATGATTATTTCTTGGATTCTGTGGTAGACCTGGCAGAGGCTTTTTCTGAAGTAAACTGCTGCAGAGATGATCTTGGGGATGGAAATGCCCTCTGCAACCTACAGTCTCGCTGTAGGTTGCAGAGTATAGAGGAAGACAATATTTCCAAAATAATAGCAAATTTAAAAAATAGTAAAGCAAAGGATATTTTTGGACTTGATACATTTCTTTTAAAAGAACACAAAATGATTCTAACTCCAGTACTAACAATAGCTGTGAATCAGTCTATAAATGAATTCAATTTGGAGAGACGAGAAACCGGAAGTTGAGTATTTTATGAAAGGAGGTTTGGCGCCCTAGGTCCCGGTGCGGCCTTCGGATCGGAAAGGCTCTTGCGATGAGCGCGCACAATCCCCAAAAAGGCTGCGTGTTGATGGAGTTTTCGAAGCCTGGTTTGGAGGGGACAGACGTCGTGACTACTCTATTCTGTGACCGCTATCGCTAAGCTGTGACCGCTATCGCTATGCTGTGACCGCTATCGCTATGCTGTGACCGCTATCGCTATATGCTGTGACCGCTATCGCTATATACTGTGACCGCTATCGCTATATACTGTGACCGCTATCGCTATATGCTGTGACCGCTATCGCTATGCTGTGACCGCCAGCGCAATGCTGCTAACCATTTTTTGCTACAGTGCCTTGCGAAAGTATTCGGCCCCCTTGAACCTTTCAACATTTCGCCACATTTCAGGCTTCAAACATAAAGATATAAAATTTTAATTTTTTGTCATGAATCAACAACAAGTGGGACACAATCGTGAAGTGGAACGAAATTTATTGGATAATGTAAACTTTTTTAACAAATAAAAAACTGAAAAGTGGGGCGTGCTATATTATTCGGCCCCTTTACTTTTAGTGCAGCAAACTCACTCCAGAAGTTCAGTGAGGATCTTTGAATGATCCAATGTTGTCCTAAATGACTGATGATGATAAATAGAATGCACCTGTGTGTAATCAAGTCTCCGTATAAATGCACCTGCTCTTTGATAGTCTCAGGGTTCTGTTTAAAGCGCAGAGAGAACCATGAAGACAAAGGAACACACCAGGCAGGTCCGAGATACTGTTGTGGAGAAGTTTAAAGCCGGATTTGGATACAACAAGATTTCCCAAGCTTTAAACATCTCAAGGAGCACTGTGCAAGCAATTATATTGAAATGGAAGGAGTATCAGACCACTGAAAATCTACCAAGTACCGGCCGTCCCTCCAAACTTTCATCTCAAACAAGGAGAAGACTGATCAGAGATGCAGCCAAGAGGCCCATGATCACTCTGGATGAACTGCAGATAACTACAGCTGAGGTGGGAGAGTCGTCGTGCACTGCACAAATCTGGCCTTTATGGAAGAGTGGCAAGAAGAAAGCCATTTCTCAAAGATATCCATGAAAAGTCTAGTTTAAAGTTTGCCACAAGCCACCTGGGAGACACACCAAACATGTGGAAGAAGGTGCTTTGGTCAGATGAAACCAAAATCAAACTTTTTGGCCACAATGCAAAACGATATGTTTGGCGTAAAAGCAACCCAGCTCATCACCCTGAACACACCATCCCCACTGTCAAACATGGTGGTGGCAGCATCATGCTTTGGGCCTGCTTTTCTTCAGCAGGGACAGGGAAGATGGCTAAAATTGATGGGAAGATGGATGGAGCCAAATACAGGACCATTCTGGAAGAAAACCTGTTGGAGTCTGCAAAAGACCTGAGACTGGTACGGAGATTTTTCTTCCAACAGGACAATGATCCAAAACATAAAGCCAAATCTACAATGGAATGGTTCACAAATAGGCGTATCCAGGTGTTAGAATGGCCAAGTCAAAGTCCAGACCTGAATCCAATCGAGAATCTGTGGAAAGAGCTGAAGACTGCTGTTCACAAACGCTCTCCATCCAACCTCACTGAGCTCGAGCTGTTTTGCAAGGAAGAATGGGCAAGAATTCCAGTCTCTCAATGTGCAAAACTGATAGAGACGTACCCCAAGTGACTTGCAGCTGTAATTGCAGCAAAAGGTCGCGCTACAAAGTATTAGCGCAAGGGGGCCGAATAATATTGCACGCCCCACTTTTCAGTTTTTTATTTGTTAAAAAAGTTTAAATTATCCAATACATTTTGTTCCACTTCACGATTGTGTCCCACTTGTTGTTGATTCTTGACAAAGAAATTAATTTGTATATCTTTATGCTTGAAGCCTGAAATGTGGCGAAATGTTGAAAGGTTCAAGGGGGCCGAATACATTCGCAAGGCACTGTATATGCTGTGACCGCTATCGCTATATGCTGTGACCGCTATCGCTATATGCTGTGACCGCTATCGCTATATGCTGTGACCGCTATCGCTATATGCTGTGACCGCTATCGCTATATGCTGTGACCGCTATCGCTATATGCTGTGACCGCTATCGCTATATGCTGTGACCGCTATCTACTGTGATCAATACTTGCGGATACTCGGCTGCTGGCGGCGCCTATCCGGAAGGAGTGAGCTGCGTAGAGATGGGGAGACAGGTTACAAAGCAGCAGTACGGACTTTAGTTGGGCTCTGAACCCGTTGGATGACGTTGGGAGGTGATCGGGGGTGAGAAATAACGGTCCGTTGAGATCTCCTTTCCGAGAGCGGAGGCGAGTGTAATGCATCGTGGGTTATTTTTGCGCGCTGGGAACGTGAGCGTTCGCATCACGTTCCGTCAGACGCTGCGGCAGCGGAGAGTGTTTGAGAAGTGCGTGCCGCCACCAGAATCTTATTGCTTCACTTACTTTGCTTCGTATTGCTTTGCTGGGAGCTGGCGAGGAAGCCAGTAGGCGTTGTGCAGCCAGGATGGCGGACGCGTCTGGGCTGATGTAGGCGGAGAAAGCCGAAGAGGACCAGCACCCCAGCTGTTGGAGAGGTGGGGGAGCCCAAGCGAGGCCGCGCGCGTGGCAGCGCCTATCCTGAAGGAGTGGGCTGTATAGAGCTGGGGAGACAAATTGCAGAGGAGCAGTAGGGATCTTAGTTGAGCTCTGAACCAGGTTGCTGTCATGGGAAGGTTGTCTGGAGAGAGATGTGTCGGAGCGAGCTATTATTATGTTGCAGGCGCCTTGGTCTTTGAATGTTTGAGATGAAGGTTGAAAGGGTCAGGGGACATTATGTTGGGTGAAAAAGAGCGACCTTTGTGTGATGCTTCCACTACGTCGAGATTATCGCGCATGACAGAGATCCTCTTTCTCTGCCACGTGTGATTCCACGGCGCGCAGGCCACGACCACTGGGAATATCTCGTGTAGGGCAGAGGAGATGCTCTG